AGAATACAGAGAGTAAAATACAATACTGAAGAGAAACTACTCCAATAGTATTTCCTTAATCTGCTCATACTGAGTTTTTCAGAGGAGGGACTGCTTTGTCGCATAAACAGTTCCTTGCTCAGAGAGTCCTGGATCTTAGCTAGGACATCCAGCTACCAAAGTAACGTAGACAAATGAGAATAAAGATAGGCTCAGGTTTTCTACATCCATTAAGAGGGTAGAGCGCATGTCAGAGCATGGCTTTGCAGTGGTGCAGGCAAGAAGTCTTCCACCAGCAACGTTAGTTAAGGCAGCATGAATACAGAGGGGGGAAGTCAACTAGCAGCTGGGGCCCTCCACTCAGCTGTCTCTTAGTGCATGCCTAGTCCCCTCAGAAAATCTGTAAGGGAACTGAAGCTGAACCCTTAGCCACAAATGAAGGTATTAAGCATAAATGCAGGGCACCAGATTCAAAGCTGTAGGGATAGATACTGAAAGGACCTTAAAATGACTTCTTCGTTAAGAAATAAGTGTGCATTGAATTGGACAGTAAAAGACTGGATTGGAAGATATCAAAACCAAGTATTGCCTGTAATGGTGGCCCACAATCACTTGCAAAGTGAGACACACAAAAGCCAGCTAATGAAGGAGTTAGGACTCCAACCATTCATTTATCTACTGCACACTAAGAAGACAGCATGGCCATTCGCTAACACACCTTGACTTTCTTGACTTTTAGAGGCTTTTTTCTGTTGCATGAAGGTAGGTATTTTAACAGAATGTTCTTTTCTTTAGCCAACTGAAAAACAAAGCGCTAGCTGTGGCACTAGAAAGCCCCTCTGGAAGTGCTTCATTGAATGGGAAACAAAAACTGGAGTTGCATAGTTACAGCATCTCCAAACAAACAGGAATGGTTATGCCCCCAAACTTTAGGCATCTGACCTTGGGAGCCCTGTTTAGCTGTGCTAGGCTTCTGACCTTGTCAATGGAGAGAGAAGAAGTGCTGTTAACCACAAGCTAACGCATGTATTAACTATATCAGGAGCCTCAGGAAAATCAGCCAGTCAGCTTCCCGGCAGCAGCATGAAAAGACCGGCTGCAGTGAATCCTACGTCCTCGCTGCTTACCTTCCATGCATTCAACTGTATCAAGCAGCTGTTTTCCAGTGCAGCCGAGCTACACACGCAAACCAGAGTTTTAACATTCTGCCGTTCGCAACGTTAAAAATAATAAATAAATACACAGATAAGGTGTAAGTGCTATTATTTCTTATCATTTATGACCTTACGTGGCGTTAAAAAAAAAAAAATCCCTAAAGCCAAGAATCCTGCAGATGAGCGGCCCACGCCATCTCCTTCAGCACTGCGCCAAGGGGCCCGCGCCGCCCCGCTCCCCCCGCTTCCCCC